GTTTTTGAAGCTAAGCTGGGTCAGACCCAGTTCATCCACAAAGCGGAGGCCAGAAGGCAAGGTTGGGCATGGTCTGCCTTGAGCAGGGGGGGCTGGATCCCTATGACGGGCTTCTCCCTTCCGGCAGGGCTGGAGTAGCTCCTTAAGTTTTATAGATCGACTCTGGCAGATTTCTGCATCCAGAGATGGTTCACGTCCCTTTTCGGAAGGGAGGTGTTCCTACCCTTTCTTTCCTGAGTCAGTTTCTTAAATGATAGCCCTGGCTCAGCCAGTGGTGGATGAAGGCTCGAGGGGCCCGATCCTTGGGTCTGTAGCCACTTTCTGGCTTGTGACGGCAGCGGTCCATTTATTGAGGACCAGGAGGGCTTACTGGCTTGGATAGATATGCAACTGATAGAGAAGCCCTTGGTCCATTTATTGAGGACCAGGAGGGCTTGCTGGCTTGGATCCTATTTTTTTTTAAAAAAAGAAATCAGACTTAGCTCTTTGAAGGCCAACACGTCCAGGCCAGGTAGGGAAAAACTCAGAAGACCACCCCTCCCCGCTTTGCTTTTAAAACGGCAGTGAAATGTCCCTTTCTGCCTGTTCTCGGCATCTCTTGAATCCGAGCCCCGGGGTTATCGCACGGAACCGAGAGAATGGTGCTTTATTTCTTCAATATAGGAGAGAACTCTCTCTCTCTCTCTCTCTCTCTCTCTGTGTATGCGCAGGATAGATATGCAACTGATAGAGAAGCCCTCACCACGGGCGTCTGCGGGTGGGAGGCCACATAGGGCCGGAGACATAGAGCCGGGTGCGAAAGATGCTGGCAGGAGACTCGAACCCTTTGAGAGGAGCCTTTTGGCAGCCGCCAGCCCGGCATGACAAGGGAAGTTTCCCCCCTGGCATCCTCCACTATTTTGTGGAGCCAACGGGGAAGAGGGTGGGAGCAGCCGGGCGCTTCCTCCCGAGTCAGCTGGCGGAGCGCAAGAAGGCTCGGCTTAGTGGGAGGATGCTGAGTAATGGCTTGGCCAGACCAGGAGCCAGCTAGCCCTCCTTGCCACAGAGCCCTGCAGGGTGGGCCGCTATTTGCCCCCCCCCTTGACAAGTCGTTCCTGCATTGCTGTTATTTCCCCTCCCCCCAAGCTTCTTTCCTTGTAATAAATCTAATAATGTGTTTGTGTGTGAGAGAGACAGAGAGCAAATGGGTGGGCTGTCAGAGGTGAGCAGAGGGTTGGGACGCAGCCCAGCGGCCTGTGTGGCTCATTGCGGTAATTAAAGCCCTCATTAACTCCGGGGAGGGGTGCATGCCATAGATCATTACCGGGAGACAGCTGCAGACGACCCAGTCCATGATGGATGGGTTGTTCGGCAGAGGACAGTGAGGTTTGGATGCTGGGTACCGGATCCCACCATTCCCTGTAGCCATTTTTCCAGGGGCTGCTTGCTGGGGGGGGGGGGCTGGAAATTAAGCACTTGCCAGCAAATTAAGCATTTAGGCAGGCGGAAAGGGGAGAGAAAAACCTTTCCCAGGCCCCCCACACACACGTTTGCTGGATGCAAGTAAAGCGTGCTTCGAACCCGGTAATTGCAGGTTGCATTGATTGTCCTGCTTTTTTTTTCCTGCATGGATTACGACCTAAAAATACTCAGTTGCAGAACCGTAAAATCCTAAATGATGGGAGCAGTTAGCACGTCCCAGGGGCCCTATCAAAGCCGCAGCGTTTACATTTAATCTCCCGGCCGTCGCTTGTTAAAAGTACAGTTAAACAAAACCTTGCCATTGTGAAGGAGGTGGAGGGCCAGGGTGGAGAGGGCGTAAATTCTCCATCAGTACGATCTGAATGCAGCAGTCGTTCTAAAGGTCGAAGGCAGGGTTAGAATCGAAAGAGGTGCGGGTTCTGCTGGGAGCCCGGGTGCCGGAAGGACGCCAGAGGGTAATGGACGGACGGTTTGGGCTGGCAGACAGCAGTTGGAGCATTTGTGAAGCACGAAAGTGTACACCTTATGCCACAGGGCACTACCTTTGCTGCGGTCTGAGGAAACGTGCCCCCTCCAGCTGGTGAGAAGCAGGGGTTTTCTTTGCCGATGTATCTCGCATTTAACGTGCGGCGTTTGGGCATGTGATGGTAAACGTGGGCAAAGTTTCACGGGTGAAAGCAAGTTTCTCTGAGGAGATCCCGTGGTCATTGGGAAAGCCACAAGGGGAGGAACGCCCATCCTGTTGAATGTCTCGTTTGACCCCAGATTGCTTTCCGTCTTCCAGGCCCCATCACCAACGCCTTCCTCACCCTGGCCCCCGCCAGTATGCTCAACCCAGACAGCAAACCCAGCGTCCCTCTGCCGAAGTTCAGCCGCCACCTCCACGGCGTGGAGAGTGCCGAGAACCCGGCCGCCGATGGGCTGACCCTCTGCCTCGGGCTGCACCAGAAGGTAGGGGAGTCGTGTTGTCTCTCTGTTTGTGAACTGCGTGATTGTTTGATGGAGTCGGATTGTGTCTCTGCTAGCGGCCAGGACCGCAGACAGATGGTCAAATCCCAGCTGGTGGGATGCAGATCTTTGAAACGGAGTGTACCAAATGTTCTAGCACAAAGTCCCATCGAGGCAAAGAAAATTGGCTTGTCAGATACACCTTCCTGGTGGATGTCAATGCTGTCACGGCTGGGGACATCATGCCTGGGTTTCTGGGGATCTGAGACCTTAATGCCGTGTGGCAAAACTATTAACGGCAGATCGACAGCCGCACGACGCGACCGTTCAGCTGGGCCCTAAAGCATGCGTCAAACTTGTCGTTGGTGCGAAAGGCGCGGGCTTTGGGCGGGAAATTACAGACCAGGAAGGAAAGGACCTTAAAGGGTCCTTCTGCACGGACTCCCCCACCCTTCGCTTATCCCCAGTTTTCCTCCTGTTGGCAAATACAAAAAGCGGTTGTGTAATCCACCGCCAAGTGCGCTTTTGGGACATTTTTGGAGCCGCGACGAATCCTTGAGAAGTGGGACTTCATGTTCCGGTCTCACTCCCAAGGTCTTAGAAAAACCTCCCAGCTAAACTGATGCCTTGTGGCGAATCTGACCTCGAAGATGAGATCGGAGTGGGCAGCTTCAGGAGACAGGGTGTCCATTACCTCACCCACCCACCCCGGGTCCCCATCAGAAGCTAAGTTTTGGATTTAATTTATTTTTTAAGAGGGGGAGGCGAGCACCAGCAGCCACAACCCCTCGCTCCGAAAAGAAGCTATGCTTTCTGGATACTGCAAACAAGCTGATTCTTCTTTCTCTTTGGAAATTTCAACAGAATGGAACTGCCTTGCGATTTTCGATGGGGTTGGCCCCCATCTGTATTTCCTCTCGGTGCTCCTTCCAGTCTGCCATCGTTCGGCTGACAGAAACACATTTATTTCTCAACTGAATCATGTCTTTCTGGCTCGCTGGGGAAGGGTGTGGGGAAGAGCAGCCTATGATGGAAAGATGCAAGGAGATCATCCTGCTACGCACGCCTGTGAACCATCGCTCACGACCGCTTCTCGCCCGGCCCTTCTGCCTGTCTTCCCCCTGAAGGGTTATCTCTCCTGGCTGTCATCCGTCTTTCCCCGAGACTGATGTGGCTGTCCAGCTTTGTGATAGATTAGCTCTTCCTTAAGAGAGGCCTTGGTGGTGTTTTTTTCCCCTAGTACAGGGCCGTTGTGTCCTTTCAGGATTTTATTTTTACCAACCCACTCAGGCAGCAGCCGGCAAAGCGAGAGAATAACAACCTGAGGGATGCACCCGGTATCCATCTGATGTTCTCAGAGCCGATCCCCGACCTTGCTCGGTCGGTCTCCTTCATGTTCTCCAATGTGGCGAGTTTGCTTTTGGTCGAAGCCACACTCTGCACGAGGATCTCGAAACTGGCCTCTGCAGCTGACATGTTCTGGCATGCGAAATCTAGAAAGCGACACAGGTTTCTAGTCCTGGTGACCGCGGGGTAGGAGAGAAATCAGGGAGCCTGGTAAAAAACATTACCGGTAAATGGATTTTATTTTTTTCAAAAACCTTTGTGATTTGTTTTTCCTCTTTTGCATGAGAATCACTGGAAGAAGGTGAACCCCTCCGAGATTCCTCTCTCTAGAACCCCCAGCGTTTGGAAAGAGGTGTGTTTATACCTCCCATCAGATTGTTTTTTTTAAAAAGCCACGCAAGATTTTGCAATAGATCGCAAACAGTCCCAGGCAGCCTCGGTGACACTATATGATGCATCAAACCCATGAGTAGCCCCTGAATTTGGCAAAGCACCAACCTAGAAGCGATTGGGTCTCCCGTCTCTGGTCATGGGCGTCCGCCTTCTGGGGAAGAGGCCGGGATTTATAGAGATTTATGAAAGACAGCGTCTCTGGGCAGTTTATAATCTTGCCTTCAGCCCCCAGAAGCAGAGGTGAGAGAGGATGTTTCCTCTTTGGATGATCACAGCTTGGGACAGAAACCTGGCTCATCCTCTCCAGCAGCTTTCCGGCTTTCCTCTTCGGGACCCCAAAATCTCTCCTGTCTAAAACCCCCTGGAATAACTCTTTAAAAAGGTGAAAATTGGTTTAGAAATAGTTCCGCATCATAGGAAACCAAGTTAACGTATGCTTTCTGACATGGAGGCTGCACATCAGACTTTTTCCCCAGTATTTATGTACTTTAAAGTAAGATGGTCTTTAAAAGTCTCTCTTGATAGCTTTCAGCCAAGATCCTAGTAATGCAGCGAAGCCTCTGTGTTCAGGGGTACTGTATCTGAACCCCCGTTCCCACGGGCTGCTTCATGCAATTCCCAGAAGTATTTTGGGAAGGGTTGATTCAAGCCATGAGATTTTCGCGAAGGGTTCTCGATGGCAAGAGAGGTGGAACGATGGAACTGAGCCCTCCTGGAACCTGAAAAGTTTCCCTTCGTTTGAGGTTCTTAAGCAGAGTTTGGATGGCCACCCATTGGGGATCCTCTGTTGTTGATTTTGCTCCGTGGCGTGGGGTTGGACTAGATGATCCTTGGGATGCCCTTGGCATTTCCAGTCCTAAGATTGTTAACAGTTTCTCCAGGTTTCTGGCAAAGAAAGGAGCCTTTAATCTAGCTGGGATTTGAGTTTAAAGATTTTTGTTTTCCTTCTAACAGGTTTTCAGCAACCCCTTCCCCCCCCCTTTCAGACAGACCCTGGACTTTTAAACTGCCTTGGATGCAGTAACCTTCACAGAGTGCATTTCCCGCTTTGTGCGGGGTACATATTAGGGGCTTGGGCCTTTGCTGCGGTCCCTTCATCTCGTGCGAGGTGCAAAAAAAATATCCCATTTTGCCTTCTGCGTCTCCAAGGCAGAGCGATAACCATCAGTGGGAGGATGGAGAGGCAAGAGAAATCTAGGGCCCTTGACGGGCCAGCACTGCAGATCCCGACATTAAGCGCGAGCGATAACAATCTTTTCTATCTCCTGTTATCGGCAGCTTGTCTGCTCCTAAATTAGAATAGCAACTCTCGGGCTCAGCGTGCCTGCGGTACTTGATGAGCTGCTGGCTGTGTCAGGGAGAGGCGGAGAGAGCGCCCCCCCTTAATCTTGAGCCGGCAGAAGTGGCCGGGACGAAAACCCCATGCTGGGGAGGGGGGGCTGGTGCACTGTTTCCCCGGCCCTGTGATCCGGCCGTTTCCGTACTGGCCTTCTTGCCCCATCGCCGGAGCTGACATTTTTTACGGGCTCTTCCTGGATCTCCCCCCTGAAAAGGGTCAGGGAAGTTTTTCCCCTTCCCGTCCTCTGCAACTGGATTTATCGAGTTTTTAGCTTGGCCCCAAACACTCTTCTGATTCCTCCTTCCCGAGAGCTTGGCCTTTTTGGTTGCGGCTCCTCTGGCAGAAAAAGGACTTGCCGCTTAGCCCGGCCCGTGCCGCCTCGAGCTTCAGGTGATTGGAAAAACAGCCGTCCGCGGGAAGAAATGAAGGCTCCCGTTTGGACCCTCTTGGGTTCCCCTTTAGAAGCAGATGCAAACCAGTGGTTGAACGAAAGCAATCACATCTGGAAGGCATCCTGCTCACGCTTCCCAACCCACTGGTGCAGCTCTAAGTGAAGCGATCGTCAGCCTGTAAACCTGGATGAACAAAACTCTGTCCGGCTAGCCTGGCCTGACCCCAAAGAACGCCTTCCAAAAACTCACCAGCACTCATCATTCTTAGCTTTTTCCTCTCCCAACGCTGCAGGCGACCAGCTCAAGGCCATCAGATTTGCCGAGTCCCTGTTCCTAGATAACCCCTCCTCAGCAAGGGCGGCTTTATTTATTTCAGCCAGCTTTCTCCCGGAGTGGAGTTCTAATCTTTGTCACCAGAAGCCTAGCTGGATTCTTCTAAACGTTTTTATTTACGACACGCCGGCTGGTTCCCCCATCTGTTTCAGCAGAGCAGCGCTGGAGGGAACCGTTCCGAAGTCCTGCTGTCTTGGCTAATTTTGTTTTCTTACTTACAGTTTCGGAATCTTTATGGCCACCTTGATGGCTTGGGGGGATTTTTGTGGTTTCCCCAAACCCAATCCTCGGGCTGTAGCCGGTGCATCGGTTTCTGGGACCGGGGAGGAAGCAAAACATTTAGGTTGAGGATCTGGGGTGTCGTTGAACAGATGGATGTACAAGGCGTGGTAACGTGATCAAGAAAGATCTTAAGAGTTCTCCTGTTGCTTTCCTCTCCATATCCCAGAGGTTCTTGGGGGTGGTTTATAGGCAGAGGCTCCTCGATCAAACAGCTGCCGAGAAGCCCCCTGGTTTTAAACCTGCCTCCCTGTATTTAAACACTTTTTCCCCTGTCTCCCACAGGGCTCTGGGGAGACCTCTCTGGAGAAAGCAGAGCGCCTGTATTTGCTGATGTGCGCCACAAGAGAAAAGGTAAGGCGCCCTTCCCAGGGGGAGGGACAAATCTGGGGGTGGAGGGCAAGACTGAAATTTGGCCCTTCTGGCCTACAGAGCTGAAGTTCTGCCTTGCTGAGATTTCAGGGGGTGTATGCGCTTTTTTGTTGATGTTGTTCTGTTGGGCTGCCAACACCCCCGAATTTTCCAGGCGGGCTTTTGGGAGGCGCGGCTCAGAAGCAGAAGCCTGCAGAGCAGCGGCGTTCGCCCTCCGTCACGGTTTCGACTTTCAGAAACAAGGAAACGTCCCTCTCCCCTCCNGGTCTTTCTGGAAATCAACTCTTCCTGGGAGTTGTAGTTTTGCTGCCCGGTGGGCACCTCGCAAAGAACTATACCTCCCAGATTGCACCCCCTAATGAGCCCCCAGCTGCCCCTTGTGATTTGAACCAAAATCAAAACCGCCTTTCTTTTCCAGAACCTGATGGGTGACCAGGAGCAGCTGAAGATCCGGGTGACCGAACTCGAGGACGAAGTCTGTTCGCTCCGGAAAATCAACAAGAGCCTTTTTGATTTTTCGAGCCGCATCCTCACCAAACCGGGCAAATAGGACGTTTTCCTGAGCCAAGGGGAACATTCTCTCTCTGGCAGGGCAGCTGTTACCTTGCAATCCTTCTGTTTGTTTTTTTAAGGGGGACACTCCTAAATATTCTCCTTCTCTTTCTTCCCGGTTTTGGGATTAACATTGATTACCTGCCGTAACCGTTACCTGGAAGGATGTGTATCCCTCGAGCTGAAGATATTTTTCAGCTCCCCGATCAAAACAGGGAAATGAAAACACACCGGCATGCCTTTCCCTGCCAGAACAATCTAGCCTGGAAGAGAGAGAGCAGCATTCACCATTTTCACCCTGAAGTGCTGTTTTTCTCCCTGCGAGGGGGTCATCTGAAAGTTTTGTATGGTTCACGCCAGCCATAACAGGTCACCCAGCTCCATCGGGTCCTTGGTATATGATTAACACATTTCTACCTAGACTTTCGTCTGCTTTGCAGGATGTCTGACACAGAGGATCAGAGCTTGCTGTTAAAAAATCATTCTGCGTCGGTGGACTTATATTTGCAAAAAATTCGACCCCTTCTTCCGGTTCAGCAAATTTATTTTCACGATCTCTTTGTCTCCTCTTGTTTCTTGTTCTGTAAAGACATAACACCTCCAATTCTGTGTCTGAATATTTTTTTTGTATTGTGGTGAGTTTTTTAAAAAATAAAGTTCAGGTGGGTTTTTTAAAAATATATAAACTCATGTTTTCGCAGTGTGCTTCCTTCGATTCGTAGCAAATGGAGAGAGAATCAGGGCTGGGTTCTGTAAAACCTTTCCGGCTTTAAGCATCAGCTCCTCTTCCCTTCCTCTCTGCCTGATCTTAAAGGGGGGGGGACGAGCCCCACACCACCTCCGGCATCATTGGGAGAAAGTGAATAACGAGGCGCATTTGTAAAGTTCGGACACGTCTCCGGAGCGGACCTCCCTCGCCGCTTTCTGTCTGTGTGTTTCTCTTTCCAAAGGGGCACTCCGGGGGCCGAAAGACTTGTCCGGTCTTATTTCAACTCTTGGCTCCAGATGCGGTTTGAGTTTCAAGACCCCCCGGAGCTGGCCTGGCCTCGGATGGCTCATCCCTCTGCACCCGGCGCTGGCACTGGTGGGAGGAGACGAGTGCCCCACTTCTGGCCTCCCATAACCCACACCAGCGCTTCTGCCCTGAAGTTATTTATGCCTATCTTCCTCCCCTCCTTTCTCCACCCCGCATGCCTCGGTTTTTACGGGTTTTTACGTTCGCCTTTTGGGAAGCCCATCCCTCCCATCTTTATTGTTGCCCTCCAGAGATGAGACATCATTTCATCTTCTCGTCCTGACAGCCCTACAGCAGTGCTGAGTTCAGCCCCGGCTCTCATCAAACCTTGGGAACGTAATCCTCTTCGAACGGCAGAGCTGGGAGGGACCCCTAAAGACTATCCAGTCCAGCCCCTTGTCAAGGAGGTTACTGTGGGGGATTTGAACTTCCAACCTCTGGCTCTGCAGCCAGATATTACATGCTCGTAGCAGGCCTAAGCTGGGCTTATAGAAATGTTTATTTTCTTAAAAATATTCATCTATTCCTTCTCACCCACCAGCATTTCCCTTTGAAATATTCTCTAAAGCCAGAATTAGAAGCCCTCCGAAAAGCTAGCTTTTGGTGTGTTTTCCCCCTATTAAAGCCAATCTATTATAACAGATTGAACATCGTTCTTAAAGACAGGTGTAAAACTAAACAGGTTTAGACCCAAATTGGGTTAGGGCATCTTGATTTGGAAATAAAACAGGAGAATTTGACAAGGAAGCTTGTCTGATGAATTCCCCGAGCCTCCTACGCTAGTTTTTATGGCTAGAAAGTCTCAAATCGCCCTATGGATCATTTTAAATACCATGATCCCTTGCCCTATGGATCATTTTTATATTTAAATATATGATCTATAACACACACATCTATTCATCTTTTTCATTCAAGTTAGAGGCTGAAAAGAAACAGCATAAAAGGAAAGAGGATGAGGAGGGAAGAGGAAAACATGGGCACTGGTTCCGTCCTTAGCTCACTCGGGTGATGGTCGGCGTGCCCCATTGAGGAGGCTGGAAAACTTGCTCCCGTTTCCCATCATCCTGGCTGGCAGTAGAGCTGAAAGCGAAAGGGGGAGGTGTAGAAAGAGACCGGGCGAGGATCACATTTCGGGGGTCTCCATACGCCCCACCCTGGAGAGAGCCACCTAGTCCTGCTAAACCCAATGCAGAAATTCAGGCCTCTCCCATATCTACCCAGCGGCGAGAGAAATAAAACTCGGATCTTATGCCCTGAGCTAAAAGGAAACCACTGATCTGTCCAAAATATGGTCCCTGACCAAACCCCCGTTTGATTTAAAAGGATGATTTAATAAAGCTGAGTGTCCTGTTCCGATGTTCGGCCAGTTAAGAGTAATACATCCAATATAATTTTTATTTATTTTTTATTTTTGCCTGCTCATGGCATCGTCTAGATCGGTGCCAGGCTGCACCAAACTTTGTACGGCTCAACCACCCTTGAAAGGGTGTGAGTGCGGATCCCCCGCCCCCCGCTGATCCAGGACAGCAGTTGAGGCAGCTATTCCTGGCCCATGCCCACAGAGCTCAGGAGATGGGATTCGTAGTCCCTGACCTCCATCCCCTCCCTGCAGCTTTCCCAGAGCGAGGGTCCTGCAAACCGATGGAAATCAGAACACACAAGAACAGCTATTGTTGGGTTTTCGGGACACCCTTTGCACCCACCCCCTTAATCTTCTCCCCCTCTCTTCTGAGACTTGAACCCGCCACCGATCTCTCCTTTAATGGCAAAAGAGGGTTGCAAGGGTTCACGCTGGCACCAGTGAAGGATCAGAGTCTTCTTTTCTGCCAGCTGGACTGTTGCCCACCTTGCTTGGATTTTTTGGATAAATCTGGGGGTCGGGCTCCTTTGACGGCCAGGTCTCTCCTTGGCACCTTTCGAGGGCTGACGATCCCTGGGCTCAGACCTGGGGCCTTAATCAATCTCCTTAATTAACTGCCAGCCGCTGAGCGGCCAAGAATTTGCTTAATGGCTTATTTGGCCTTGTTCTTCATTTATTCTCTTCTCTCTCTCCCCCTCCCTCGGTAAAGCAAACACTCTCAGCCAGGCTTCTTCTTGCTGACCCTTTGGGGTGCTTTTTCCTTCGCCGGCTCTGTATTCGAGTCTTGGAGCACTGAAAAGATGCAAGGGAGGGGTCATCCGGGTCCAAGATGATTGACCCACGGCCACAATGCCCATCACGGAGGGCTTCCATTGAAGGAGGGAGAGGGTCTGTCTCCCTCTCCGACAGCTTGCAATTAGAGGCTGTGCGGTCTAGTGGTTACAGCCACAGTAACCACAAAAAGTTTCACTGGGAGAGGAAGGGGGGTGGACTAGATGACCTTCAGGTCAGGGTACCTTCTGTGGTTCGAAGAGAAGAAAAACGCAACTTGCCTTCTCTGAGCCTATAAACTAAAAAAACCCTCAATTTCAGGTGAGTGAAGGGTCTATGGATAAGACTTTTGCCAGGATGTAAATTGGCCTCCCAATTCTGGATCCCGGCGAGGTCTTCTCGGCGCTTCAGCGCTAGACTACTCTCTCTGGGGCATCCCCCGGAGCACACCTTTCTGCTGGTGTGAACGCACGTGGCCCGGCGTTTTCCAGGCCTGTGGTATGCATTGCCAGGCTCGGCTGACGGATCCCGAGTGTCAGGAAAGCCATTCGTCGGCAGAAAAAAAAGGGGACGGAGGGGGTGGGGGAGTTTTTTCCTGTGCCTCTCTGGGCCCTGAGGATCAGCCGCTGACCCAAAAGTAGAAAATTAAAATATGATGTACAAAGAAACAGGTTCCCCACCCACCCAGCTGCTCAAGAGAAGGAGAAAGCTGGAAAAAAGATGCTCTTTCGCAGTGGGTTCCCATCGTATTCATTCAGGAAGAAAGAACAGGAAAAAAAGAGGTGGGAAAAGGGGGTTCTGAGTTCAAATCCAGCCTGTACTATCTCTGGAGGGGGAAACATGGAAACTGAGGCTGTTCCTCCTTCGGGCCCTTCCTGAGAAAGCAGGATTCCCCGGAAGAGACAAAAAATACTGGAGAAGGTGGAAGCCGGCAGGAAAAGAGGAAGGCCGAACGTGAGATGGACTGGCTCCCTCAAGGAAACCACGACTTTTGAGCGGAGTAGTTGAGGACAGGGTATTTTGGAAATCACTCATTATATTTTTTAAAAACACTATATTGCACAGGAGGTGTGTGTATACAGCATGTACAGTATACCCAGATACCCCCCCCAACAAACCAATACTGTAATTCTAAAGCCAGATGTGATTCAACCGCCCTCCCCATTGTAGTTCATTGGGAGCGCCAGCAGTGAGGGGATGAGGGGTTCTGTAGTCCAGACTGTTTTCCAAATATGACTCGTTGAGGAGGAGATGGCCGTGGCAGGGCGGGGAGTACAATTTATGAGCTCATTATATTTGCCTGGAGGCTAATCAATATTTTTCCAGCGCTAGGTCCTTAGCAATTATTATTAATTTCATCCCGTTTGGAACAGCCGTTATCGCAATTGGTTCCCCTTCGGCACGAAGCGCTTCAACTCTGCGTGGGTTGCTGGAGACCAGAGTGAGGCCAGCCTGGGCAGACCCACGATATTTTGCCGCCCGAGGCAGGCGCCGAAACGGTGCCTCCTCCCCACCCACCCCGTTTCACGCTGAGGATCTAAGACCAGTTTCCATTCCTATCCAAATTTTATACCATTTCCTACCAGTCCCAAGTGTCAAGGCGTCTTGTTTATATATAAATGTTTAAATATATATAATTTAAAATTTTAATGTAAAAAGCCCTTAAATAATTTAATTGAAAATACCCTTAAATAAATCAATTATTAATTATACACACACACGTATATATATATATATACAAGATGCTTTCTGTCACCCCCCTTTCCTCACTGCTCGCTTGA